CGTGAAAAGATTTGGTTGGACTAAAACTTCAGGTTTGCAGGATTTGTGTTTTTCTGGTGCTCATAGTTATTAACATTTTATTGATTGGCCCTTACCCAACTCTTTCTTTGAAGTAGGTATTTTTTAAGAAGTAATTCAGGACTTTCTGGCTTTCTTTAAATGTAAAAATACCACATTCTTTGTCCCTGTGCAACAGGTATTCCAATAAGCTGTATGTTTCTTACTAAGTGATGTTTTTTTTATCTATCAGACAGCAATAATCAACTGGATAATCATCAGAATACATGTCTTATTTTTACATAATGTGTGAAATTTTTATGTGTGTTTACCTCTTGCCATTTTATAATTAATAACTTCAGAAATTGGGGTAGTTGACTTAAGAATACAAGCAAAAGGTTTGCAGATACAGTGATAAAAATGAGACAAGAAGATCAGGATAGTAATTTTGTTGCTAATCAGCAAATTATGAGAAATAACTGTTAGTAAAGAAAGAAAAAATATTAGAGGAACTGCAGAATGAATCAAAAGGATTGTAGGTGACAAGAATAGGTCTAGATTGTAGTGCTACTAGCCCTGCTGTGGCAGAGGGAGGTGGGGGCAAACCCATTTCAGCAGTTAACTGTAGAAATTTGGACTGAAGAAGTAGATGTATTGTTTCCCTTGTCATTAGCTTCAAAAGAATACTCTATTTTGACTTGTTTGTAACCGAAGCAGATTTCTACAGAGTAGGTTAAAGCATACTGAAATGCTGGTGGAAATTCATGTTGATTGAAATGTTTTACAGAATCATAGGACAGCTGAGGTTGGAAGGGACTGAGAAAGATCATCTAGTTCAACATTTTGTGGGAAAGGGAGCCTAGATGAGGTTATCACCCTGTCCAGTTGTGTCTTGAAAGCGTCCAGTGGTGGCAACTCCACCACATCCCTGGGGAGGTTGTTCCAGTGAATGATTGTTCTCACTCTAAAAAAACCAACTTATATCAAGATAATATCTCGCAGTCCAACTTGTACCTGTTGCCCTTTGTCCTCTCCAAGTGGCTTTTTGTGAAGGGAGAGCCTCCGGCCTCTTTCTAGCCACCCTTTAAGTACTGGAAGAAAATTCCTTTGCCTGTTTTCATGGAAACTCTTCAAAGTTTATATATTTGCATTTGTAATATATTAAGCTGTTTTTTCTGTTTCTTTCTTTCTTTGTGCAGGAGGGCATATAGAGACAAGCTGAAATTCTGGACTCATTGTGTTCTAGTAACACTTATTGTATTTACAGTCATCTCATTTTTTGCTGAACAGGTAAAATTAATATCTTCTTATCAAATCTATAACAATAGATTGCTGTATCTTCAGGATAACATAAGATGGATTTCTTTTTATATAGGTTTGAAGAGTAGCTAGGATTTTTCCTTCAGATAGGAAGAAAAGATGTTACATGACTAATGATTAGGTTGCTTCAATTTTTAAGTCGTCACGTTGAGATTCCTTGAAAAGAGTCATATGCGGAAAAGGAGAGTGGTATTCCCTTTTCAGGCACCTTGTGACTGTCAAGTCCATCATCAGTGTGCTAAATTTAGATATTAAAAATCAGTAATTGTTTTTGGAATTCTTGGTCTGTTAACACACACATTGGTAAAAGTGCGAAGTAAATGAAGAGGAAGAAAATTTAAGTAATAGCAATACTCTAGTCCTGATGGGAATCTTAAGGTATTTAGGGGCCTTATCTAAATCTCATCCCTAAGTAATTGCAAAGAATCCTCTTGAATTCAAAAGGTATTGAATCCAACTTGAAGGGAAAAAAAGGCTCCACTTCTGCAAGCATAAAGTGGCTTTCTTGAACGTGATTAATCCTGCTAAACTTAGAGGGAGTCAATTGAACAAATCATATGGGTAATTCTTTGCAGGTTGGGGCCTTAAGTAACCCTTTCCGTGGTCTGATGAAGAGGGTGTAATTCTTGAAAGGTTGGCATTTGATTATTATTTTTTCCCACCTGTAACTTTTGCATGAATCTTTCCCTTGATTTTCAGCCTTTTGTATATAATGGAAAACTTGCCTTCCATTAGTAACTTGGATTTGGAAGGGGGTACTCAACTCAGTAGTTTAGCTAGATATATAAATACTGTTTTAAGATGACAGCTTTGTGTTGATGTTTTAGAAACTGAATGTAGCCTGATGTTATATTAATTTAAATACACAAATTAACTTTAAAATAATCAGAATATAGGCATGTTGTATTTTTCACTTTCTGCTTGTATTCTGGTTATTGAGAAGTTCAGTGAAAATGTGCACACCTAGTAGATGAATTCTGGTAAATCACTTTCTTCTTGTGCAGTGGGAAAAAAAAAAAAAGTATTAATTACCATGGATGGTACAGATGTTATAGTTTCTAGGATGAAAGCCAGACCATCTGTGAACCTCTAGCCCAGCAGAGAACTAAATATTGTGTTTTTTTCTCCCCTCAGCTAATTGCACTTAAACGAAAGATTTTTCCAAGGAGAAGGATCCAAAAGGAAGTTGGTCATGAGCGAATTAAAGTGTAGAAGAGCTTTATTTTGGAGATCAGTCTACCTCAAGATGTGATACAGATTTTAAATGCTTATCTCAGAAGTGTCTTTTATGGTTTGACATTTAACTACATTGACATGAAGAAAAAAATAATCATGCATCTACAGTTAGAATCTCCACAGTACTCTTCATGATACACAAGCTGCTGTAGCTGTGACAATGCAAAACAACAACAAAAAGAAAATGACAGGAAACCTGTACATAGGCAGTTTTCAACAGGTATTACTTTACAGCTGTTAGTTCATGGCCATGTTATCCTTTTTTATAAAAAGGGTTACCTAAAGAAATGTAGCTGCATTTATTGCAGTGGATGTTGCCAACTAGATAAAATGTTGGAAGGCAAAGTTGTTTGGGATCAGCTTAACAGGTCCTTCATCTTGCATTCCAAAACATTTTGCAAATTTCTGTCGTTGCTGCTTTTTTTTTTAGCCCTATGGCAAAATTGAGAATTATGTAAATTGTCATTTAGATTTAGTGTACATTTATTGATGTTGACATTCTTTAAAGCACAGTGACAATTCATCCCCCTATTTGTAGTAATTAATTGGGATTTGGAAGAAATGTATGCTACTAAAAAAACACACAGTAAAAGAACAACTGATTGTTATTTGAAAGAGACTTTATATCTGATGTATTATATTCCAAAGAATACAATGGTGTTATTTCTTGACTTGATTACAAAGAGAGGGTTGTAATCAAATGAAAATTATCAAGGTATAGTATTTTACAAGCACTGTAAATACAAAAGCAAAAGTGCCTCTCTATTGAATGAGTAACAAACTGTTTTAATGTAGCAATGTATGGGAGCAGTGTTTCACTTCAGAAAACAATATTTGTACTGACATATGAAGCTTTGGTGATTTTAAATTTAACAGGGTTTGGCCCTGTATTTTGCTGAGACATCAGAGTAGTGTGGTTTTATGTGGGAAAGGATACTGAATCTTTTCAAGCAGAAATTTTTGGTGGTGTATCTTCAGTTAATTGTATTGGCAGTATTCATAAAAGCATTAATTTTTGTAATCGGATGATGTACAAAATGTATGTGCATATATGTATTGTAAGATACTTGGTTTGCTTTGAAATTAACTAATGTGATAAAAGCTGTGTCTGTTGTTTCTGTTTTAAAGTAAACCGAAACTCGCCCGTTTTGATAAACCATCCATTAATGCGTATGAATCCTTATGTTAAAAGTTGGTGGTGTTTTCTGCAGCTTCAGCAATAATAGCCAAAAGATGTAGTATCCATTGAAAATCACTGCCAAAATTTGTGAGCAAGGAAGGGAAGCAAGGTAACATAACAGTATTGTGGTGGCAGCTGTGCACCCACCCGGCCCCTCACTCCCTCCTGCAGCGGGATGAGGGAGGGAAGTGGGAAAGCAAAAAGTGCTGTGCTGCCGTACGGTCGCTGCCAGCACTGCTTGGGTCACCAGTCTAAACTGCAGCACCTCTGGGGCGACTGGGAGGAAAGTTAACTCCACTTAAACACCAAACTTGGTGTTTCCTTAACTAAGTAAAATCTCTCAAATGGTTGAGGTTAATGAGAAGACTGAAAATTGAAATGATGTTAGGATTTCTTTAAAATTTGTATTTTGTAGTTGGTAAAGGGTAGAATACCTCATTTATTGGGGGCAGAAAATCCTGTAAGAACAGTAGAAAAAAATGTGAAACGTAAACCACCTAGTTTGTAAAATTAATTTGATGAGAAATAGCGCCTGTTTGCTGTGACTTAAGGAAAAATCCTCCTTCAGCATCGTACCGTAGCCTACATCCACCGTAACATATTTTGCAGGCTTTTGTTGTCTGAATGAGAAATCAAAGCCCTTTCTATTAAAAATAAAAATGGGTAAAGGTCGGTGAGGTTTAAACGAGTTTAATGCTGAATCAGCACGATCGTGCCGGGCCTGGATCACAGGTACGGCGGGGGGGGGGGGGGCTGGCAGGCGGGCGCGGGGGCGGG